GTAGATATCCATAAAATGATATTTTTCAAAATAGTTAATAATAATTAATCAATTATCAGGAATTATGTCGTTAATTTATCCTTCACGGAATACAACTAATTAAGAAAAAATATCATTTTATGGATATCTACTCTTTTTATTTGATTTAGAATTGGCTATTTTTCCCGCTTAACAAACTAATGAAAATTTTATAAACTGCATAACTGCAAAAGTTTTAACAAACTTTTTTTTCGTCTGGTAGATAATATCGTAGAATATTTCGAAAATCTCTGTTGACCAGTTAAAACACTTACCTAACTAAACAAACTAACAAACTGATGACATCAATTTAAACAAAATGAATTAAATTACAATCCATAATCGCTTTATAGACTGACATGCGCCAAAATATTCATACTCTACATTAACTGAAATATTTCCTTTCCTTGGGTTTTGAATATTATAGAAAAGTCGCTAATGGTGTATTATTAAAATGCTTATAAACATTTTTGAAATAAATATTCCTTAATTAATACGTTACACTATTACAATTAGTGTTGAAAATTTCTGGGTGTAGTTGAAACCTAGGTGTTTTTATAGTCGACTATTGTTTAAATAGACATCTTAAAGTTTATATTAAAGCACAAACGTTTTTCTTTATTTATGGATTGCTCAGAAAGGTAACGAAGAGTAGTGTATGTATAGTCTAAGTACCTATATGAACTTATAGCTCTGACAATGGATTATGTTTGATTTAATTTGGTAAGCAAAATATATTAAGATAGTGTTTAAATTAAGAAAAACGGAAAGATTTGTTTTCACCCGTGGCTAAGATTCATATTTGATTATTTGCCGCGAAAGGCATTTATTCAAATAATAAAAAATATATGTATAACTCATGTACTTGGTGCTGAAAAAATCATTGATAAATCTTTTGTAATCCTTAACATATTAAAAACAGAAACAAACAAACAAAAAACAAGTTCCTAATAAAAGATCCACAATTTTCAAGATCTTTTTCAAATGAAGAAATCGTGAAAATCGTAGAAAGTGCTAGACAAATAAAAAACAATCTTCTAAAGCTGAACTGTCTACATTTTACTATAGTTAATCTAAGCTGAGACCTGTACTATTTTTCATCTCAAATTAAGTACCGGAAAGTTCTTACAAAAGCATAGGTATCTAGAAATGTCTAAAAGCTTTATACCTTAAATGATGTCCAGGTAGTCACTACTTTTTTTTAAGTTATTAATTCCGTCAAATAATTAAAATGGTACTCTGTACATTTAACAACTTAAAAAAAAACAAAGACTAAACAAATGGTACTGAATCTTCAAAAAATACTTTCAGACCTCTGTTTGTGACATTTTTTTCAGTACTTCATTTGCTTATTAAAAGTATATAACGAGTCATGGATAAATAACGATGTATCTGTATATCTTTTATTAGTTACGTATTAAAAAAAGTACTCGGAATGAGTTGAGATATAGAACAATAGCTTTTCTTAGTTTAGATTGGGCCCAGGTCCTTTATTACATACCGTACTGCTCAGGCAAGTCAGTACTGATCCGGTCCTCATCGGCAAGGTACCGAATATTTTTCACGGAAGCAGTTCGATCTTGGTACAAAGTATTGGTTTATTTTTGGATTCAAGTTTAATTGTTTAATTGTATCATATGTACAGGAGGTACTAAAGAATTATAAAAGGTTTTTTTGGTCACATACGAAACTAGTCTTAATTTTCCACATGAGAAAATGGTTATACGAACATTAATCAATATAAAGACATGCAAATACGTTTTCATGCAATTTTTCTGTCAGTAAAGTAATAAAGCAAGCAAGTCAATAAAAATAGCAGGGGAGTTGTTTCTAGATTAATAAGAACAAAGGCATTTGGAGTAACAAAATTTTCCGTTTTTGCGTATATGATTATATTATACACGTCGTTAATTGATAAATATATAATATACATATATAGTTTAAGCTCAAGCACGCTTGTTTAAAAGCAATCGATCTCACTAAGCACCGTCCCTTGTACCCGTCCTTCTTGCCGAATTTTTCATCCGATAAATTTCTACTGTATTTTATAACTTAATGTATAATTTTTATTTATAATGTGTGACAAAGTCAGAAGTCAGTCAGTCTTTCATTTTAATCACTAAGATTTTAAAATAATTTAACTTCGTAAAAGAAAGTCCAATTAGATACACAATAAGAAATTATAATGATACAGCCCTTGAACTAAAATTGTTAAAAAAATAATAATAAAAAAAGTATTTTGGTCTACCTTCAATAATTATTTTTGGGACTCTGGAAAAGAAAAACCTGTCTGTGAATATAAATGGGACAAACTATAGTTGTAAATACCAGGATAATTATTTATTACTAACTTAACATCAGTTTGACCGATAATAATATGAACTTATAGGAATAGGTATAAGCATAAAAAAACATTACGA